TTTTGTTTTATTTTTTATTTATTTTATTTTTCTTTGTCAGTGTTTATATGTTGCTTAAAAAAAAACAAAAAGGCAATAAAAATAAAGTATAAAAAAAAAAGAAACCTGACCAGTTCATTGGCAGGGTTATCATCAGGTGCTATTGGTTTGTTATATCTATATTAGCATGTATGTTGGAACATACGCAAAAATAAGTTATGGAGCTGTTGCAATTGTAATTTAAGGTAAAAAAAGAAAAACGTTCATCTTACAAACTCTTAAGCCAAAACAGATGGGAAGTCTTATGGATATGAAAGCTCCAGAAAAAGCTGGTCTCTGCGGACTATGAGCCGGGACTGTTTTGCCTAACTAAGTTTAAAAAAGTCGACAGCCATGCTAAGGTCTTTAGGCACAGTGATGCTTTGAGCTAAATGCTAACAATGACAATGCTTAGATGCTAACTTTTAGATTGCATACTGTTGACCATGTTCACCATGTTCACCATCTTAGTTTAGTGTGTTAGCCTGCCACGATTAGCTTACTAGCACAGAACAGCTGGAGCTGATGAGAAAGTCCTTCGTTTTGCAGGTATTTGGTCATAAATATTAATAAAAGTATTATGTGTATAAAATGTGTGACCTGATAACGGTGCTATCAGGTCACAGGGATCATCAAAGTTATTAAAATCCATCCTGTGAGAACAAGAATGTCAGCACCAAATTTCTTGGCAGCCCAATAGCTGTGTGTTATTATAAGTTGGCAACACTCATGTTCACGTCTAATGTAAATAAAGAATGGGAGGGAAAACAAGAAAAAGAACAAATAATCTACATCTACTGCCACAACATCTACAGCAGCACACAGAAGACACCCATCGTGTCTATAGCCATAAACAGATAAACTCATCATTATATTGCATTCATATCAGGAGATCAGAATCAAGTGGTCCAAAAGGTTGTGCGTCATTTCAAACTCATTTGTTCAGGGGGGCAAAACGTGTCCAATGAAAAAGAACAAGATTGAAGAGGAAGTGATGATTACTCTGCCAGGGTGTCTAATGATGAGATCCTGGAATAAGGGGCTCACTTCAGCGTGTGTGTGTGTGTGTGTGTGTGTGTAGAAGATGCTGCACTAGACATAAAGAAAGAGAGATCAGAGAGTACAAAAACCACAGCAGGGTGTGCATGATTGCAGCCTGCCCCCCACCTCTTTTCAATACAACGCAGCAAGAGAGAGGAGAATTAGAGTGCAAAGTATTTCTCTCTCTCTCTCTCTCTCTCCTGATCTATCCCAATCTCTGTGTTTCAACACAAACACACACACACACACACACACACACACACACACACACAATCCATCTATTCCCCTCCCTCATCACCTCCATCTCCCTCATCATGTTTTTAAAACCCACTCAAGGTTTTTTTTTTCTGTCTCAGTTCACCCTCTCTCATTTTATTTCTACTTATACCAGTGTCCACTTCTTTCTTTCTTTCTCTCTCTTTATTTCTCTTGTAATTAAGAGTCTCATCACGTTTTCTTTCAGGTCCAGTGATTTTAATACTTATTATCATGGCCCTGTTAAGTATTGTTCACTCCATCCAAAGATCTGAGCACACTATTATTTCACATGGAGCCCGAGAGGCAGGCAGCGCGCGCACACACACACACACACACAGACTTTTGCATTACCACAAATCAACTAAACAAAGGTTCTGCGGAGAAGTTAACATCGGCCACGAAATTAGGAAATGCCAACTACTTTGTTTATTCAGCGTGTGTGTGTGTGTGTGTGTGTGACATGGGCATTGCAGTGAAAAGTTTATGAACCATTGCTTTAATCAGACTCTGACATATTCAAAACACCAAAAAAACTGTTCAGTGGTCTGATACGCAGGCAAACGCTTGGAAGGGGGAGTCTCAGTGTGTTGGTTGCAGGAAAATAGGAAAGGAGAATCTTTAAAAAAATAAAAATAAAAAAAAAAGATGCTAAGCATGATGAGGAACTAAAGTGTGCGTGTGTGAGGTGAGTGATGATGTGGGTCAAAATGTATAGGCTGATTATTAATTTCTCTGACGTGCAGCAGGAGCAAAATAAATCTGAAAAAGCTTGACATTTCCAAACTGGCTCTCAAAAACAAAGCCGCGCCAAACTAGGTGACAGCGATGACAAATGGTGTGTGTGTGTGTGTGTGTGAGAGAGCGAGGTTGTTCATGTGTTGGTCCTATAATAGAATGAACAACTATGTGTATTCTGTGTATAATTTTGTGTTTCTTCCAAAGCTGGGTGTATTCATTGCCAAGGGAGTACTTATATGTGACTCTGTGTATATACGTGTGTGTGTGTGTGTGTGTGGCCTGGATAGTAATTATTGATCAGATCATCCAGCTGAAATGAGCTCTGCCATCCAAATAAAGAAGAGAACAAAAGCGCGAGGGAGCGAGTGACAGATTAAAGGAGCTCGTTTAGAGGCGAGCAGGAAACAAAGCTAAAGGACTAAAAGGAGCCCGCAGAGATTGTTAGGACGATTGTTCTCGCTCCTCCCGGCCCGCTCCATCCTTCAGCTCATTTGTTTACCACCTTTATTCATGCCCTCATTTGTGTATTCATGCGTATTCATCTTTTTAATCCATCATTTCATGTTTTTGTACTTCTGATAATTCACCAGCGCTTTGGTCAAAACATTATGGATTAATTATCCGCGATTTTTCAAACGGGATGAAAAATGAAGGGCTGACAAGGAGTGTTTGTGTGTCTTTAGGTATATTGCAACACCGGTGTAAAATCTCACCACAAACAACGTTTATTTTGCTCGGTACAGCTCTCAGAGGGCGAGGTCGCTCCTCATCAGGGCTAACATAACGACTCAGGATCATCTAGTTTAATGATCCTGAAGAAAAAGGCTTCACAATTGCCAATAAATGCTCAAGTGGGATCATAGCTAGTTACTGAGATGGCTCCAGCTTATGGCTAACATCACTGTTATGCTCATTGCACCATTATGTGACCATTTGTGTCCCTGCAATATGGACCTGATGGTCCTGTAAGTCAATACCCCAACTCGCTGTAGAATTCAAAGGTTAGTTGCTCTTATGAGTCCATCAACATTACAAGGACAGCATTTATTTGTACTGCATTTTTCTTGTGTGTGTCCCTTTCTCTGTGTTTGCAAACAGGGATGGGGGGATATAATATTGATGTTTATAGAAAAAAAAACTGAGGTGATTATACACTAAGTAATACATACTTATAGATGTTATATTGCATTTCTGCTCATAGATCCTCCTAAATGTTACACACTAGACCATTAAGCTATAAACAGTCACAAAATGTTATAAATCCAGTTGCAGGAACGATACTTTCCACTCATATCTTCAAATGTTTGATGTGAAAGAGAATGTATTCTAATTATAATTATAAACTATTCTAATTATCTATTAACTCCCCCAGCTCTTTCATTCATTTCTATCCGCAGGATGTCTCTAGTTTTTCTATGACTCACTCTTTATGGAGTGTTTTCTCATGCCTCGGTGCATGGGGAGCTGTTTTCTTTCCAGTGCGTAATCAGTGCGTAGCCGTGGTCTCTGTTTCTTGTTCTTTTACAGTTTCATTCCCTCATGGTGAATATCAGGTAGAGTACCGTCTGTGCCATCTGTGTGCGTATGATATACTGTGATGAGCTATTGCCTCGTCTACCAACAATCACTGCTGCCGTATCACTGGAAAGTCTGGGCGCGACTTCCCTGATAAACATGCGCTTCAGGTACCACCAGCTCTCTAAAGACGCAAATAATTTTCTCTAAGTGCGTGTGGTTATTAGTGCAGTGTTTGTGAATTGGACTTTTTTTCATATGAATAGAAAGGCGGCAATTTTGCACTAAATGTATGCATAGTACCTAATTTAAATAGCCACAAAAAGCACAGCAACACTGTTTTCTTGGCAGCGCAGTTAGAGGTGCATTCTACCCTTTGCGGGCGCTTTGTGAATTTCCATGGCTTCCTTTTGTTTTAATTGTGCAGCTTTAGTGGTCGCAAAAGCTGTGCAATCCTTTTGTGAATTTGCCCCTCAATCCACTCGTGGTTGTACAGCTGTCTTACAGAGTGGAGGTTCTTCCCTCACAAAAGATCTTTGACGTGTATAGATACCATTGACTGTATATAGATACCAGCTTGCAGAGAGCACATAAACCCAACAACAGACTAGAGCGGCACAATTAATCATAATTTGACCGAAATTGCAATATCCAAATCGCAGAAGCAGCATTTTTTTATAAAGGTCAAATATGTGACAAAACAGCATTATAAGGAGGGACTGTAGTTCTGAAGAGCTGCCCTGACCTAAATATTTAGAAAAACATGTTTGGTACAGACCCCCCAGAAATGTCCCATCATTATGTTTTTTTCAGTAAATGAAAATTGCGACACAAAAATTATCATTTCCAAGAATCGTGACTCATATCGCAGTATCCGTCAAAATAATTGCAATATGATGTTTTTACCATATCGTGCAGCCTTACAGCCGACAGGGTTATTTTGGTCTGTCATCAAGTTACTCAGGGACTTTAATTAGCACCAGCTGATATGACCTGCCTTCATTAAA